ATGGCTTCTTTTGAGTGCCAAACTTGCCATAACTCGAATCTCGCTACGCCCGTTGGGACCGAAAATACCTCCACCAGCACCACTAGCAGCGATTCCAAAGCGTAAACAATATAGCGATTGGCCTCAAATACAGCCTGGCAGATGAGGAGGTCTGCTTGCGAGTTAGCAGGGGGCGCACACACAGCGACAATAGATTCTTCAAGACGAAACACCATGGATAAATATATTTAATATACCGTATTTTAGCAGAAATCTAATATAAAGCTGCTATAAGGTTGGCAAACCCAAATCGGAGGTTGCAAAAAGCGAAATAATGTCGAGCAGCAGAAAGGGAGTGCCAGCATCTCAAGAAGCATTGGACACCTTCGTGACGACGCAGATACTGGATAATGGCATGGATGTGATCGCAAACAAAATAAATTTGCTACGCGAGAAGTTATTGCAGTCTGGGCGAAACGAGGTTGACGCGCAGACAAAGAAAAGATGGGCTAAACGGCTTCAACATTGGCTTGCGCTGGCATGCCGTCTGCTAGCGACGCAGCGACAACAGCTGCATCACTGTATTGAGCGTGTTGAACATGACTACAGTCGAGGGGAGGTTGGTCTTGGAACAGGAAAAATAGAAGTGAAAGAAGAAGAAGAAACTAATCTCTACAGCCGGACATATACTCGTCTGAGGGGAGCAAGTTCCTCGTCGGTCCAAGCATCCATAGATAGCGATAGCTATGCTAACGCTTTCATCCCGGACATGAAAGATATACCGCGTGAAGGTTGCCATGTTGCAGCTAAAGTAGCACGCAGCCACGAATTGTGGATCATGGCGCGTGTGGTCAAATATAATGCCGATTCACGGACGTACGAAGTGGAGGACGTTGACTGCGGCGATGAGGATGGCGAGGATGATGCAGTAAAGAGACACTACATTGTCGCATGGCAGCATGTAGTCGAGCTACCTGGCGACTCACTATCAGAGGGAGAATGGATTCAGTATTCTTTGAACGAGCGCGTCATGGCCATGTATCCTAACACGACCAGCTTCTTTCGCAGCACTATTCGAGTTCCCAACCCAAAGGTACTGTATTGTATAACAGTGACATTGGCAAATTAAGGCATGTGACGATTACTTGCAGGGCGCTCCGTACGTTATACTCAAGTTTGACGAAGACGAGGACGAGCACGGTTTGGTGCCCGACCGAAAAGTACCTTTTCGGTTCGTTGCTCCTCTAAAACCGTGGCATCAAATGTAATTACTATTGAAGTAATTCATCCATAGACAATCAAGTCATCTCGGCTACAGACGGCAAATAGTAGTGGCTTGCATAGCTTTACCCGCTCTTCTTTTATTGCCTTATGGACAATAGAAGAAGAGCAGGTAAAGCGTGTGTGCGGAGAAAATAAAACATGCTTGACAACTCATTTGTTTAATTTGCATTATTTCTTAATACTAAAGCATTTACATATATATCGTCTGGTCGAGGCGTCTCAAAAAGTCGCTAAACTATATCGAAGAGCATAATCAGATCAGAAAGAAAAAAGAGGCAAAAAGACTTGGGCTAACCGGGCACCTTACAACATATATTCTTAAAAAAATGGTGATGTTGAAAAACATCATGGCGATAAGTATAGTAGGTTCTCACGGAGCTACTATGCACAACAGCAACTCGAATCGCCCATTAGACGAAAAGAGAATACAGCAAAGCAAAGGTGGCTTAATAATCTTGTGAAGCTGAGGACTTTCCTTTCTTACCAGCCGTAGCTGACTTCTTAGGTAATAGGACAGAGTGAATATTGGGCATGACACCGCCGGAAGCAATAGTGACGTCTCCAAGCAGCTTGTTAAGCTCTTCATCATTGCGGACAGCCATCTGAATATGGCGCGGTATGATA